GTCTCTTTTTTGCTCAACACCATCCTCAAAGACCCTTTGCAGTTACAATTTGCTCACACAACCTCTACAGTAGAGACGCCTGACATGATGGCCGCGACAATGCATCGACAGTATCCCCCCATTTACCAAACCCCCCAGTCCAACTCGCCCGCGTCTGTCGCGTCGCCTTCGGGCCACGATCAGCATAGGAGCATGTATGCCCAGCCGACGTCGCAACAAATGCCACAGCAATCAATGTACTACCCGCCGCAGACTCAATATGGTTCCATGCCTCAGCAGCCTGCCCCTTCGCCCTACAGCCAGCATGCCCAGACGTCTCACCAGTCCATGACCTCTCAGCCAAATATGATGATGTCGCACACTGCCCCACAGCACCAGATCGCGCAGCACGCGACTCAACACGCCCAGGCTGGAATGACGGGAAGCCCACGGCATCAGAAGATTGAGGCTCATCAGGTTCCTCCTCAACTCCAGAGGCCATCGCAATCTGGATCGATCGGAGGCCCCTCGCCGAGCACTCAGAATGGCGCTCAGCTCAACACGCCAACGGGCTCAACCCCCGGCGGTGTTAACCCCAACGCTGCTCCGGGTCCGATTCCCGCCACGACCCCTCTTGTGGTTCGTCAGGATGGAAACGGCGTGCAGTGGATAGCTTTCGAATACTCCAGGGATCGCGTTAAGATGGAGTACACGATTCGCTGCGACGTCGAGTCCGTCGACACCGACCAACTGTCGGCCGAGTTCAAGACCGAGAACTGTGTTTACCCACGCGCGTGCTGCGCCAAAGACCAGTACAGGGGCAATCGTCTCCAGTACGAGACGGAGTGCAACACTGTCGGTTGGGCACTGGCGCAATTGAACCCACCCTTGCGCGGCAAGCGAGGCCTCATCCAGAGAGCAGTCGACAGCTGGCGGAATAGCAACCAGGACCCTAGGCTGCGTTCTAGACGAGTTCGCCGCATGGCCAAGATGAACAATCGCAAGGCCGTCAACAACACTCACCCTGCCCACATGGCCGGTCCAAGTGGTCCTGCAGGGATGGCTGGCTCAGGACCCATGGGTCCCAGTGGTTCAGCTTCCATGGGAAAGCCCGCAATGGCGATGGGCGGGCAGATGCACCACCACCAGGGCGGCTCTGACGGCCACTCTCACGGTGGAGGGGATGAAGTCGGTATGTTCCACCAGATGTGATGTGTGCATTATTGCGACTGCGTGTGATACCTTTCAAAACATATTATACCTATGGCTGCGCTTTGCTTTTTTTTGGTCGTTAAGTTTGGAATCTCGGAAACTGTCTTCGCATTCCTTTTCTTGTTGTTTATACGGCCGCGCCGACTCTATACATACAAGCTTCAGAAGCTCGCCCGGCGACAGGACATGCAGCATATCAGAAAAAAAGACACCTGTACATTACACTATGCGCCTGTTGCGTTGTTAGCTTGTTCTGCTGATTTTTCTTTGGTATTTTGGCATCGCATCGCATTGCACTGCATTCATTTGCGCCTGCTTGCGCCCGTTTGCTATCATTACCATGCAGAGTCATCAGCACTGCAACCAAACACACTCAGCAGCTCGCTCAGGCTCATTTAGTCCACAAGACTGTAGTCAAGTCTCGAGGACCTTTGTATTGCAAAAACAAATCATTTCTCATCAACCCTTACCCTCCTGCTTCAGCTCTCGCGCGCTTGGGCAATAGCCATGCCTCGCTTACACCGTCCTGTTCTTGGCTCTTGTTTCTTGTTTCCCCTGCGACACCTCCTTCTCAAAGCAGCAGCCATAGCCGTCGATCACATGCACATCAAACAGCTAGGATTGCTAACAGCACTGCCCCTGCAGGTGAGGGAGAATACATGGACGACCAACATCATCACCATCACCAAGCTCCCCCGGCACAGCCCGGCCCCGGCGGCGACGACGTTCGCCAGGCCCATGTGTTCCACGGTGGCTTCAACGGTGGCTACGGAAGTAATGCGCCTGCTAGCAGCTCCACCATGCCATCGCTGCAGGACACCCTTAGCAATGGTCATCATCCTGTTACTGCTCGCCGTGCTGGTTCTCGCGCTGCCGGCGCCGACGAGCCAACAGACCTGTTCCCCGACATCCCCGAAGCTAAGAAGCGCAAGTTCATCCTCGTCGAGGATAGCGACCGCCAGAGCCGTCTACGTGTGCGTGTTACCCTCGACGGGGTTGACACCCGCGAGATCCCCGACTCCTTCCGTAAGAGCTCGTCTGTCTTCCCGCGATCGTACTTCCCTCGCGAGATGCAGAGCCCGCCCCCTAGTGCCACAGGATCTAGGTTCTTCCAGGAAGACGTGAGTGACCTTGAAGATGACGGCAACGCTGAGACAGAGGGACGACGTGCCGGTCGTGGTGCCGCCGGGAGGGGCCGGTCTCTGATCAAAGTTCCCGCCACTTCCAACGAAGGAGGCGAGGTCGAAGTCGCCATTCCCAAGTTGCGAAAGGGCATTCGTGGCAAGGAGGTCCGTCTCAACGATCTGGGGTACCGCATGGCGTGGCTACAGAGCAGAGTCTTCGCGGGCCGCCCTGTGTTTCTCCAACGTGCCCTGGATTGCTACCGTAACAAGACGCGCCAGGCAATCGACTCCATCATGCAGGACGTCAAGACCGTGGCCCCGCACTATGAGACCCGCGTTGGCAAGCGCAGGTGGACCGAGAAGACCCGCCGCGGCGACAAGAAGGACGACGAGTCTTAGTTGGACACTCGACTTAGGTCGTTGCCACAAGGTCCCAGCGAGACCTCGGAACAGCCGACCACTCAGCGAAGCACGGAGCAAAATGAAGAGGGGGAGTCGCCGCCCATCGAGCGGGGGACATTAGACAAATGAGGGGCCGTGGATGGCACGGTCTTGAACTCGAGCGTACCTTACTGGGGTGAATGTCGGGAATCGTTACCTCCCAGCCCCAAATGTTGGAGCAACCTGAAGGCTTGTATGGAGATCTCAGGTCCCCAGGGAGCTATCAAGCTATGCGTTCTCAGTCCAGGGTGCTTCGTACATCGAGGCTGTCATTTGATCAATTCTGCGGCGGCTGTTGAGCGCTTGTGAAAGCGCGAGCCAAGTGGCTCCTGGGCGGGACCAGCAATTCATCATCTTCCTCCGCTTTTTGTTTGCGCCGGACAAGCAAATAGACTCTCAAGTCCTTTCTTTTTTTTCTCCTCTTTCCTTCCGTCTTGGCTTCTCCAGCAAAAGTCACGACACGACTGTCACGAACGAAGACTAGACGAACATGATCTCAGCGACGACCAAAAAAAATGATGAAATGGGGGGACATGCGGGAAAAGGAGTCTTGAAAATCAAAAAGGGAAAAAAGATCAACTCGCTCGGGCGGAATCAGTGCTACTTTCTTCAGGTGGGAAAAGGATCTGGAGAGGCGGTTTGCGACTTTCGATTTTTACTTTCTACCTCATTGCCATCATCATTACCAAGTTGTCAAGAGGACTCTTCAAGGAGTAAAGGATGATAAAGGGGGTCTGTTAGGATTCATGATGGGCAGAGTGGATGCTGCGTATGTGCTTGTTACGATTACGGTATTGGTTTGGGTTGGCCCGGAGGATGCAGTCTGACTGATTTCGGCGTGGGGTGTCGTGCGGCTCGGTGACCTGGCTTCTACAACGGACTGATCTTTGATCTGTCTTTGTTAGAGGACTTGGTTGGCCTTTTGATAAGAGTGGGGAGAAGGGCGGGGGAGAGCTTTTCAGCTTGTCATTCTTCCATGCCGTTGCTAGATATCCCCTGTCAAAAAGGTCTGTTTTTAATAGTCTAGTCTGTATGCATTGTCAGCTTTTGTGTGCGTCAGTCCTCACTCGATGATTCCACGGAGTGTTCCCCAGTGGTATGTATGTGCTTGGTGCTTCTCCCAATTTGTGAGGCCTTGATTATGCGTCTGGTCCCGCACAATCCACGCGTGTCTCGATGTCAGTGTTTCTCGCGTTGAGTGTGAGTGTACTAAAGTCGAGGCAAACTGCTGTGGGGATGATTAGCCGAATGGGCAGGGAGAGGCGAGTCATCTTTGGCAATCGTATCTCTTTGTTTTCAAGGGAGTTTCAAACAGGCCGATATTGGATCATGGCGGCATCCTTTTGGATATGCGTTTCAGGGGGCATGGGTATAATTATATATATTGCTTTTTCTGGCTTTCAACCTATCAACCAGTCAGCCCACGCTGAAGCTGAGGAGGATGGGTGTGAGGTTGAGTTTCACGTGTTTGGTTGCGGAGCAAATTATGGACGATGTGGAATTGATCGCCGTCTCTGAGACGTAACATATCATCTCTTGTTGACAACATGTTTCGCCCTTCTGTATGTGGGTGTGGAGGCGGGTGTGCGTATATGGGGGACACAGTGTTGGACCAAAGTTTCCATGTCGTTGGTGGTTGCTCTTTTGGCCTTGTGACGCTTTTTGTCTTGCAATTTGTGATGGATCGTGGCTGTTTCTTCTGTGGTATCGATGTGTTTTGTACATTTGTCTTTAAATGCACTGCGGAGAGTCTCGGGGCCGCGAGCACACGAACACAATTGTCGAGTTCTCTTGCCTTCTGCTAATTTCAGATTATATTGAGAAGCCCTTGTGCTCACGGTTTTAACAGACATGTAGATACAAGTCTCTTTCTTTGCTATCAGATTAGAGCTTTCAAATTATGCCCAAGTTGGTCCTGTATCTCGATTATCACACTCTTTGTTCCGAATCGTTCTCATATGAGTCTCTGTAGGAACTCTTCGGGAAGAATACTTCGTCCTGTTGTTTCCTATCGGGCCCAACCTAAAGTTGCTCCTCAACACCATGAGCAAAACAGATCAAGCCTCATCGTCTGAGTGAATCAGGTAGATTTGTCAAAAGTCTCCCAAGACAAATCTACGTATGAATTTGAATGTAATCTTCACGTCGGCGTCTACCATGGAACTTGGGCGTATACATCTGTATCTTCCTCAGCATACATGAGAGGCGCGTGGGTGATCCCTGCTCACCCGCAGCAGGCAAAACATGACCTTCTCGAAGCTTTCCAGGTCCCGTCCCGTCGTGCACCCCCTGCGGCATGCGGGCAGGAGAGAAGGGATTGACCCCAACGGCCCGTTGGTGTCACGAACCCAACCCCGGAGCCGCTTGCGCATCCTGCCAGGGCCCGCGCCGGGGTTCTTCGTCGACTCGTCCGAGACCCATGGTTCCCTGGAGGTGCATATGCAGCAGCATGGGCCAGGGATCGTGAGGTTTGCCAAGTTGGCCGCGGGCGGCGTGGCTGTCTTGCTCGATGGTGTTATGGACACCTCCTTGTTGTGAGACATATGAGTGGCTCACTCGGCAAAGACCCTGTTTCTGACTCTGGGCGCGGATCTGTGTGGATGTATTATCAAGGTATTATGCTCCGACTTGTCAGAGACCGTAGATTCTTGCAATATCAGTGTTTCTCACATACCAGCAAAGGGCCATAGTTTGCGATCACGGGAGATTCAGGACAGTGTGGGCGATAAGGCTACGATCAATCTTCTCGGTGTAAGCGTTCTTCACCAAAACTTGATTCAGAGCCTGTTTATGTAGGACCATGTTGATGAAATGTCTCACGTAGACACTACCCGCAGAGGTGAGAAGCAAAGTCGACGCGATTAGATTCTAAGAAGGAAGTCATCGAGTTCACCGGCTCTTGAACTGTTGTCGGAACAGCCGGACGATGCGAGCGGTAGGCCAACAGATCCCATCTGTACATGTAATGCCATCATCCATACCCTATAAGGCATCACATTGTAACATACCCAAACCAATCTATCCCGCCCATCAGTCTTGGTATCTTGGTATAGCATCATCCAGGCTCATCATACATGACCCAACGCCGCTCCCAAATAGTACCCCATCCCGGTCCCACCGTGAAACCGAAATCAAAAAAAAAAAAAAAAAAACCATGAACCCAGTCCTCTTCATTCATCAATCATCGTCAAGTCGTCAAATGGGGCTCATCGCCCCCGCATAATAAAAGACACGTGGTTCAGGCCACGACCTTGTAGGCGTCGGCACCGCTCAGCTTGCCGACCTCCCAGGCGCCAAGGTGGCGCTCGCCCTTCCAGGCGTGCAGCTTGACGACGACGTCGCAGACGGTATCCTCCAGGCCCTTGCGGACCGCATACTTGGGCATGTCGTCCTTGGGCAGGCTGACGGTGCACAGACCGGACTCTGAGGACTGGACGTCCCGCGCGGTGATGCGCTCGACAAAGATCTCCTGCTGGCAGTCCGGCCTCTCGAAGGAGAGCTGGAGGCCCGAGGCGGGGAACTGGGAGCTCGCGTGTCAGGATTGGGAGGATTCTCTTGGGCCTTGGGGGATGAATATAGACTCACGATGGGATCACGGCTTTCCACGCCCCTGCGGAAGGAGACTGACAGGTAAGGGGAGAACTGGTTGGGAGCCACGAGGGACTCGGGATAGATGGAGTATCTGGGCATCTTGGGCCAGGCGTGGGGAGCACCGTGGTGGTTTGTGGGGGTTGAAGAGAGAGTGGATGCTTTGACTTGCATGTGACGGGGGAGAAAGTCAGTGTGCTGATCACCAGGGCGGGTCGTCTGATAAGAGCAACCTCATAAGCTTTCCAGTTTGTTTATATACTTATAGGTGCACGGATAGAAAGATAAACAAGACAGTTATATGCGAGAAAACATGAAGAGCGTGGCAAAGGGGCAGGATGGAGTGCCGTAGTATTTAAGGGACCTCGCCGTCGAAGCGCATGAACGGCGCCATACGAAGGATGGAATGTTTGTGTTAGTCAATCCTGACTTGGAAGTCCAATTTCAAAGTGCCTGGATGAAGCAGGGAAAATGTCTGTTCGCAGGGGATATAGGTGTGTAGGGGGATGATGGTGATTGGCGGAGGGTGTTGTTTGCAAACATCGGCGTTCCGGGTGAGGGAGCGCGGTTGCCGAGCAATACAGTCACTGCAGTCACCCTTGCTTTTGGCGAAAATCGATGTGTTGAACCGTTTACTAGAATGAATGTGTAGATAACAGAGCAGGTTCATATTGTTATGTGGGAAGAGACTGCCAAAACGATGCTTGAGATATTCACGTCTATGCTTTCTTGCGTTGTTTGTTTCGGCGTTCAGCAAAGCAAATTCCAGACTTCTCCCATCGCATCAGGGTCATATCATAGCTGTCAACAGCTCACTAAGACCGATGTTGATCGGTGACCCACAGGAGCTTAGACGGGGCCTGCAGCCTTGCAGCTCCCCCACCGCGGGGTCTGCAGCACTGACTGTAGGTACCTAGTCCAGGAACCACAGTTCTGCCTGGCAGGCAGCCTGACATGCAAAGTGCAGTGAGATGGAGTCAGCCTCAAGCAACAACATGGCTGCCTCTTATACAGCACCAACCTCTCGTGATTGTATGTGGATGTGGTTCATTGCTTTCAACAAGTGGAACTGGTGACTCATGTTGAATTGAGTATATAAACAATGTTCAGAGGCCTACATTTGGCCCTCTCCAGCCGCGTGCAACCCATCTTGGCCAGATCAAGAACCATATTCCTCTCTAATATCCACACCAATACGAACCCAAACATCAACACCCAGGCCCGAAACAAGACCAAGACCAATATGGCCGGCGAAACTTTTGTTCTCAAAGAATACAACAACGTGCCGGTCACGGCCCAAGGCCTGGAAAAGGACCAGCTGACAAACTGGCCGCCCTTCAAGGTGAGCACTCGAGCTGACTGCTACTATCACCGCCACAACCAGCCTCGCGCGCAGCGCCCAGAAAGCTAATCAAGACGTCAAACCTCCACAGAACTGGATCTCAACTCTCTCCCACTCTCTCTCGCTCCAGTCCCAGCCCTCGCACCCCTTCCACAACAACCCCTACCACCTCAAGGACGTAACCATTGAGTCCTACAGCCTCTTCAGAGGCAAAAGCATCGGCTTCGCCAAGCTCAACGCAAATGTCTCCACCGCCGACGGCAACAGCAGCCTCCCCGGCATCATCTTCCTGCGCGGCCCCGCCGTTGCCATGCTCGTCGTGCTCATCCCCGACGACGTCCAGCCCACCAGTGCTGACGCCCTCGATGAGGCCTACGTGCTGCTGACCGTCCAGCCGCGCATCCCGACGGGCAGCCTGGGCTTCGTCGAGCTGCCGGCCGGCATGATCGACGGCGACAGCAACTTTGCCGGCGTCGCCGCCAGGGAGATCAAGGAGGAGCTCGGCATGGTCATCAAGCAGACCGAGCTGACCTGTCTGACGGACAAGGTGGGCGAGATCCGGCAGGCGAGGGACGCCAAGAAGGGCGCGGGCACTGGCAAGCCCGACGCAACCAAGGACGAGAATATACCGTTTGCCATGTTCCCTTCCGCCGGTGGCTGCGACGAGTACATCAAGATCTTCTCGCACGAGAGGCGCGTGCCGAGGAGCACGCTGCAGGAGTGGGAGGGCAAGTACGGCGGCCTGCGCGACGAGGGCGAGATGATCACGCTCAAGGTCGTGCCGCTCGAGGACCTCTGGCTGGAGGGCGCCATGGACTCCAAGGCCCTGGCCGCCGTCGCGCTCTACAGGAAGGTCAAGCAGTGGGAAAAGCAGCAGTCGAAGTGATGATGGCGCAGAGGCCAAGAGGGTATCTTGCATTCCCGGCCCGAGTATTCCCACCTTCCCCACGCGAGGTTCACCCGAGTCTAATCTCAGGGCTGAAGGGGCTGCAGGGCGGACATTTACTTTCTAGAAGCTGAACTGCTTGGCCAGCTCAATGCCCTCAGCCAGGGTGCCGACCCGCGCATCGATGCCATACCCTTCGGCCTCCAGCTTTTTGCACTCTTCCCACAGGTTTCTCAGCGGCACATAGAAGACCTCGATGAACTCGTTCTCTTCCAGCTCAGGCTTGAGGTTCTGGTTTTCAGGCAGGTTCATGTCGATGGAGACATGGACCATTCGGAGATTAGTATTGCAGAAACCCGGGTCTAACTTTTTGCTTCCCACCAGCAGGGCTCATGTCAGTCATTGTGATCCCGGCAGAGGAAGGAGTTGGGCCATGAGATCACTGACCGTTCCACATGAGGGGCGAGCTCTCTGTGACTCTGCCCACATAGCCGGTCTCCTCCTTGAGCTCTCTCACGGCTGCTTGCTCGGCTGTCTCGCCCTCATCGACGAGTCCGGCGGGGACCTCGATCATGACCTGGTTCGCTGGAGGTCTGTACTGTTTTTGGAGCACAATTTCGGGTGCTGGACGGGACCGGGCGCCTGGGTCAGCTTAGGGCCGTCATGGCAGCATAGATACCCCCAGATAGATTTAATGACGAGATCATCTTACCCGTGGACTTCTCCAGAATGGCCACAATGCCGACCCCGTCAATGTCGCTGCCCTTGGGCCGGGTTCTGCGCTCGGCAGATTCCCAGTCACGGGTCCTTCCGCGAGGGTCTCTGTACTGTATCCTTGAGACGGTGTGTTAACGTCAGTCAGATCCCAGGTGTAGGGATATGATTAGGGGAGGGCCTTACTTGACGAGCTTTGTCCACTTCGCCTCGCTTTCGGGCTAGGCGTAGACACTCATCGGATCAGGCACGAGGACATGACCACAGATTAGATTGTACACATTTGATATTGACATACCAGTGGACTTAGAGACAGGACCTTTGCATCGGCGGAAGACATCTTTAGCGAGCTGAGCGGTCGCGGTAGTATAATGCAGCTGGTGACGCGGTTCATTCTCGATATTCTGGAATACCTAACGCGTGCTCTCACAGCTGCCCTGCAGCCTTGACGTCAACGGGCAGAGCAGAGGCCATAGCTCCAGCATCTCCCTGTCTCTAGTGGGGGTCAAGTGTGTTGGTCCTCTAGGCAGGCAGTGGAATCTATTATCGATCTATCATCTAGTCTATCTGCACAAAAGCTTGCATAAACCACATGGTGCTGTCACATCCGAACCACACCATAAGCAGCTATCGGCACCGCCAGACATTGCCATGCTGTTTGTCTGCCTCGCCAGTCGCGACGTGTAATAAAGACAGCACGCAATCGTCACAAAGACACAGTGACGTGGCCTGGCTGTGGATAGCGTGCCAGAGTCAGCACTGCAGGATCCGGCAGGGGATGGCGGATGGATCGTCTTCCTGGTCCAACTCCGACTCCGACGAACTCCGAATTCTTAGCGGCCAGACAGTTCAAGCACCAGAGCGTTATTTGTCCGGTTTCAAAGAACACGCTTCCTATTAGCAAGAGGATGGCAGATACGGACAACCAAAACAGGAAGTTAAACAGCTCCTGGCAAGGGGGACAACCAATGGAAGCGAGCACGTTCATGAAACCTTCGGATACACTGCCGCGGGAAACCATGTACGTTCCACGCCCGCCTCGCTATCTACGCGGACGGTATTCCGAGTCGCTGGACGACCGGATTCCCCAGGATTCATGCCGCTTTTGGCTTCTTCTTCCTCTCTTATCACCACTGAACTGTCCCTGACTGTGTCGTTGACTTCCTGAATAAGCTTCCTTGGATTGTTCTGGCTTACGTTCACTACGTTGCGCATGGACAAAAGCTTGCCCGTGCGGACACTCGCCCCCAACTCCGATGCTTCATTAATATACAGCGTGTTCACTGATTCTATCCCACTTCATTTGTTCCAGGGAAGACTACCTTCTTCGTCTCCACAAAATTTTACTCAATAAATGGTACCACTATAAGCTTCTAGGTACATTTTCAAGGGCACTTGGATCCCGGAAAGAGCAGATAGCTCGCTATTAGCCATGGCTGGGATAACAGACGCACAACCGACTGAGGACGAGGCTCCGCATACTGTCTCGGAGGATACGCCTCTGCTTCCTGGCGGCGATGCCGGATCCCCGGTCACTGACGACGAAGACCCGCGGAGCAAGTACAAATGGCCCGTCATAATTGGGAGTTTCTCTATTATCTTCATGATAGAGCTGGCGGTTGGGATTTCCACGCCGGCCTGGAACGCCCTCCTCGAAAAGGGCCTGTGCGCCGAGGCCTACCCCGAGATCTCCCAGTTCCTGACCGCAGGCGATGAGAATCCCCTGTGCAAGGATCCTGCTGTGCAGGGCAAGTTGGCCCTGTACCGCGGATGGTCTTATACATTCGAATGCCTCCCGACCATCGTGCTTGCCCTCCCCTTGGGCTCGCTATCGGACCGCTGGGGCCGGAAGCCCATCGCGATACTGGCCCTAGTTGGGGTGGCGCTGAGTATGCTTTGGTACGAGGTCATGTTCTACTTTCCACTGCCGATGTGGACGTTCATCCTAAGTTTTGTCTTCCAATTCATTGGAGGCGGGGCTCCTGTCGGCTTGAGTATGCTGTATACCATGCTGGCGGACGTCCTACACGTAGAGGAGATGTGAGTTGTGCACCACCACTGCTGACATCGCACCGCCCGACTGCCTCCAAGCATGCTGACAGCGTACTGCAGGACCACCGTCCTCTTCAGGTTCTTCTCCGTGTTCCTCGTGGCGGAGTTGGTTGGGAACCCCTTGGGCGGCTTTCTGTTGAGCAGAGGCCCCTGGGTATCGCTGATCACTGGCAACGTTTTCATAGTACTGGTTCTCATGTCATTATATATCCTGCCCGAGACACTCGTGGTGCGCCGATGGCATGACGCAAAGGCCGGGAAGACACCCAGCCCGAGGCTTGCGCCGCTGGATGGTAGTGATGATGAGAGGCTGAAGAAAAGCAGTATCAGTGCTGCGCTCGACGACGCACGCGACCAGCTGGTGGAGGTGTGGGAGTTCCTCATCGGCAACAAGCGCATCGTTGTGCTCATGCTACCACTCATCTTCATGACTCTCGGGAAATATATACAGGAGATGCTGCTGCAGTACGCGACGAAGCGATATGGCTGGTCGTGGAGCAAGGTATGTCGTTCATCTCTTACTTTCTACCTCGCTACCTACCTGTTCCCTCGACGAGAAATCGCGGCTAACAAGGCGATTCCATTCAAGGCCACATACTTCCTCACCCTCAAGTCCGCCAGCTTCATCATCATGCTTACAGTCATCCTGCCCGCCGTGTCGTCCTTCTGCCTCAAGAGGCTCGGCATGTCGCCGCTGTCCAAGGACCTGTGGCTGTCGCGCTGGTCGGGCGTGATGCTCGTCGTGGCCGACCTAGCCGTGGCCTTCTCGTTCACCCCGGCGCTCTTCGGCGCCGGCCTGGTGCTCCTGTCGGGCGGGTGCGGGCTGACGCCGCTGCTGCGGTCGCTGCTCAACGCGCAGGTCGAGCCGCACCACGTCGGCATCCTCAACACCCTGCTGGGCTTCCTCGACACACTCGGCGTCATGATCGCTGCCCCGATCTTCAGCGAGTCGCTCAACAAGGGCATCGAGCTCGGCGGCGCCTGGATCGGCCTGCCGTTTGTCGCCGGCGCCGTCATCTCGTGCTTTGCGGCGGGCATTCTCTGGGTGTACAGGATCCCGCCGCAGGTGGAGAGGAGTGTTCTCGAGGAGGATCACGTGTGAACAGAGACACGCATTCTGTCACATTTTCTTCCTTTGAGGCCCTTCTCCCTTCTTCCCCTTTACCAATGTGCAAAATCGGTGGGCATAAAATCGCTCCTTTGAAGCCCTCAACTCTTGGTCTTCCGAGAGGACCTCAGTATCCCTGTATTTGGGATTATGTCACGCACATCATATCGTGTTCTCGACCTAGAATTATTCCTTTGTCATTGTTTGGTGTGTTGTACACCCCTGTTTGGGATGCATTGTATAATACTACGGTATGGCCCGGATTTACACGACCAGTTGGATACCCACAAGGCGTCGCGGAGTTTTGGTTTGTGATCCATTTTCTATTTTAGATAGCGAGGGCAGCGGGAGACCTAGAGATTGTATTTTTCTAAACACGTAGAGAAGACAGGATCCTAGACAGGACCAGCCGCCATCGAATGGATTCAATCGTGGCGGAGAGAAATGCTGCAGTTGCAGTTGAGTCCGTCAGCACGGCACAGCACTGTAATGCACATTACTCGCTACGCATTTAAAAAGTCGGCGGCCGCGTTCATGAGTGGGCGGCTGTTCGAATGTTCCTATTCTGGTCGTCATGCAGCAACAACAATACGACGCCTGGGTGGCATGTTCCCTGTCTGCGGCGCAAGGAGGCTGAGCACGCGGCTCTGCCCAGCGATATCTAGCCTCTACCTCGCAGCGGACAGGTATCCTCCAAGACATGCTCGGGATGCCCGAGGAACTTGAGCACTGGACGCCATGGTCAACATGATCGTGGCTCGTAGGCAGAGGGCTCTCGGTTTCTGTTCGTATCCAACTTCGTTCCATGCCAAATAGTGCTTAGATGATGGGTTCTGATGAAGCTAGAAGATGACAGTTGAATTGGATGTTGACTAGCCGAGAAGCCAAAATGCTAGTCCAGTGGGCCAGTATTTACTGTGGCAGGATGGAACGGGGCTCACTTTTAAGTGACATAAGCCGAGGGCGTGGCACGCCGTGTGCTGGGGTCTTTTTTGAACCCAAGCTGTCGGCTTGCCACTGTTGTTTGTCAATGTCCAGAATGTCAGTCGAGTCGGGCTGTGCGGGATTGCGGTGGACGAGGCCGAGTAACCCTTGAAGGGATGGCCCCTGGCGAGCACTGACTTGGCGCAAGACTTAGGGCAAAGCAAAGGGACCTGGAGAAAACAAATCATCTGGTGGAACTCGAGACGCACCTGCACATTCCACCTGCTTCCCGCCCGGAGATTTACTGACGAAACAACAGTCGTCAACGTGGTTCAGTATCGTGGCCCCGGCCATCGCCCATCTCCTTGGGCCCCGTCTCTTGCGCAAAGGCTCCGTCATGATGCCGCCACCCCCGGAGATTTCGTCAATCAGATGGGTCTGCGATTCTGTGGGGAGATTACTTATTTTTGCGTGTTTGTCTAAGTCTGGCAGTCTGTCAATCTCCTCGTCTATCTGTACACAATACCTAGTGTAGTACATAGTCTGTAACCTACCATAGTATAGCCAGCCTTGTTCTATTCCGGTACGGGATTCATCAACGGCTTACACGCCCGTGTCCTGTTTAAACTCGATTTGGCTTTTTACTCGGCCCTCGGTACAGGACCCTTATTTCTCCCCGTTCGTATGGGAAATTGCTTGCTCGATCTCACTTGCCTCTCACTGGCCTGCCACTGGACTGATGGCCTACTAGCCGGCGACCATGCTACACTAGATCTGCGCTCAGGCGGCCTGCATGTCCTTGTTCCTGGCCACATCCTGCGCCTGTCCCTGTCCCTGTCCCTGTCCACGCCAATGTCTGCCACAGGCACACTACAGTTCTGACCCCAGATGGAGCTTGTCACTCCCACCTGCTGCAGGCTACTGCAGTGCAGATAGGCATAATGTGCCGTGTGCTGTGTGCGCGCGCTGTGTGTGTAGGATTGCTGCGTGGTACACAGCACACATTAGACTATCCAGCCCCTGTTTCTGAATCTTCAACGGCTTTCTTTATCTTTGGTTCCAACAACTCGGTCCGCACCTAGCAGATGCAACCTCGTGTCGGCAAATGTTGAAACACACATCGACTGACAGGCGACAGCAGACGGACTCGACTCCATCTCCGTCACGCCCGCGGATGTTTCGGGGCCAGCCCTAAACAGGTCTCATGTAATTTCACCACCTGCAGCCGCCGCAGCCGCACTCTCTTTCGGCCGCCACTAGTTTCCCCCGTGGACAAGTAGCCTGGCACGCCTGGCTGTCTAGTCAGGGACGCACGCATCCACTCTACACTCGACACTCGACACTTACTCACCCGACAAGGACAGGACTCGAGCTCAGACTGTGATGTGTAGAGTTTTGGGCTGCACGCCGCATGCCGCGTGGCACATGCCAGCAGTCACACTTTCCCCTTCTAGTCTCTACCCTCGAGGGATATCTCTCGCCAAGCACGGTCAGTCTGCGTCTATTCGGCCAGAGCTGTCCCAAAGCGGACAGGCACCATGCTCAAATGCCCCCTACTCATCACACCACCATGACCTCAAATCTATCCATGCTGCCACCCGTACACCCACTCTGACCGGCCACTGCTGCCCGAGCGGCAATGCAAGGTACACACGGACGAGAAACCCTGGGTTCGAGTGACAGGAACACCCTTTGCTGTGACCATGGCGGGCATCCTATCATATATGTACAATCTAGGGTATCATCGGCCGGGGCCTGGGAGAGCTGCTACCCCTATTCCCTTTCCAGTCGTGCCTGACTCTTCCACAGACCTCACTGTCACCGTTATAGACTGTTGTTGTTCTGTTGTTCTCGCTGTTATGCTGTCTGCTACATGTATCCTTGTGCGGTAGCCCACCTGCTGTGACACCCTTTCACGCTCTCTCGCTCTTGTCACTCCCCACCGTTAGTCCCAGCTGTCATCCTGTCCTTATATTGTGGTGATATTGCCCTCCCCTGAACCCACCTTTCTCATCGTCACTTCTCGGATGGGGGATCAGAGAGGGGCACCTGTTCCTGTTTCTGTTACATCCCGTGGCGTGCCTATCCATCCGAAGACTCTCCGTGGACGTGTTTCTTATCGGCGGATCTCAAAACGAAACCAGGCCACCGCGGATCTCTCCTTTTCGGCGAAGGAAGCGAGGAGCCCCTGACATATGCCCCCGTATTGTTGCATGCCCCGATGCGCCCCCCCTCGTGGGCCCCACGCAAATTCTCAAGAAACCTGTGGGTCTGCACCTGCGTCTGTGGTCCCTCAACCAACCCGCAGCCTCAAAACCATCTCTATGGGATCACCTCTTTTCCCCCTCCCCCAAAAAAGTCTCTGACAGCAGCCGAGAGATTCGGATCGTCGCCGCGCCTGCGCATCTCCCTCCCCTCAGAAATTGCCCGTCTCCAGCATCGCGCAGCAAAAGGGCCACCCAACCTGTCGCCCTGCCTGTCCTGTGCCGCAGTCTGTTATTTTCTCCGATTTCAAGGGCCACGAGGCGTACTTTTCGCGTGAAGGGGTCGTCGAGGGGATATCCAGGCAAAAATGGGCTGCTAGCACAACCGCTGTCTTTCCATTCTTTGCTTTGTTTTGTCTACTATCCCTCCATCTACCTGTCTTTCCTTCACCCTCGGTCATTCCTGGAGGCTAGCCTTGCAAGGCAAAAAACTACGTCGTTCTTTTTCTTACTGTTTATTGTTCTTGAATTTTGAGGTTGCATTTTCTTGGTACAAATCACTAGTCAACCCTGTGCTTCTTGTCTTCGTCTACCACTGTAAGCCACCCCTGAGTTTATAGCACCGATTTCAGCCTTGCTCAAAGCCATCTTCTGATGCGTTGCCACAGTCCCCAACCACGCGGGGTATTCGTAATATTTATTTAAAACATGGTGTCTTTCTTCGGCCTCAAGTTCGGAGCCGACAAGAAGAAGTGAGTTGACTCCGGCCATATCTCAACCTTGTCTCATCGTCACCTTACAACTAACCCATACCTCAGGAAAGAGGTCGAAGTCGTACAGCCTCCGCCTCCGCCGCCACAATGGAAGAACGATCGGACAGAAGTGCTCCTTCAATGTTCTGGACTGCTGAGCACAAATCCGAGCAGGCCTGGCACCGCACATAGCTCACGTAGCAGCGCGCGAAGACCCTTCGCCGCGGGCGGAGATCGCAATTCCTCGGCGAGCAGTGCATGGGACGTCAATACTGACTTCAGAGGTGTGGGAGCTGGCCGTGTAGGGAGCATTGCCAGTATCAGCGCAGGCTCCGGACCATTCATACCCGGCCACGGCCGGAGCCTAAAGTCATTTGGCTCTGAGGCAAATCTGCAGTTGAGCCTGGGCGCGAGGAATGGGTCGTCGACAAGTCTTGCTGCGCCGAGGTTACCGTTTGGAGGGCAAGGCGGCGGCGCGGGGCCGAGGCCGGGGAGCGCACACTCGATGCGTAACAGCCGTGAGAAGCCGTGGTTGAGCCCGCTGGACGTCCATCCTATTAAGGAGTCAACTCCTGGTATTGCCGGCCCACCGAGGAGCCCTCTAGGTCAACTGGAGCTCATGTCACCTGTCCTTAGTGACAGCTCGTCGCTCCTAGGCGAGGACCCCGAGAAATTTGCCCAGGACATCAGCGACAGGGTCACGCAGGAAGAGAAGCTGGCAAGGATGAAGAACGAGGTTGAGGAGAGGAGAAGGGTTCAGGCCGAGTTAGAAGCAACAGCAAGGAGGAATTCGGAAGCCTCCAGGCCGAAGACAGCGGGAGGATATCCGTCACCACCTGCCTCCGTCTCAAGCGACTACATCGTACCGTCCGTGCTGGTACCTGGACAGAAATCGGGCCCTTTCGCAGCACCAGCTGCAAGGGAGGTGAGACCCGCAAGTAGTGGTCGGGATAACTTGAACAGTCGCCTCACACCCGGATCCGGACCGCGTACCCAGGATTTGCCCATACGCGATGCGAGGTCGGTCAGTAGGGGCCGGCAACTCAGTGTTGAAGGACCGCAGCCCTCCTCGAGATCGCCTCTTGGAAGCAACAATTCAGCCGTCGATGACAGATCAGCAAGCAGGGGCCGAAGTCAGACCGCCGACAACAATCCGTCAGCGTCTTCGGCCTTGAGACCGCGTGAGCCGGTGCGCGGCGCCACCGTTCCCGCCGTAAGACCCCAGCGGTCGCCACTCTTCCAGCAGTCGAGTCCCTTCGACTTGCACAAGCCGGATGGCCCGCATGAGAAGGAGGAGGATGTGGATGAGCCCAAGGTCGATTACCGTGCCGCAAACGCACCTTATGGAATACCATCACCGCCACTATCAAACCGCCAACGCACAAGTGAGGAAGCCGAGAGTCGCCCCGTGATCAGGAGCGTGATGGCCAAGCGTGATACCCTGGTCGTCGGTGGCCCTCCACGACAGAGCCTGGGCCTGCAAATTGCCGAGTTCGAGAAGACTCTGCAGCAGGCACAGGCCATGACAGCACTGGAGAAGGGCCCGACTTTCACTACTGGTTCCCGCAGTCGTGGTGACAGCGACGGCGGCAGCAGCAACTACAGCGATATTTCGGAGTCGCCCATGACCATCGAACCGCCCCTCGTCTCGCCCAAGCCATTCCCCCTCACACCGAGACCTATAACTCCCGGTTCGAGGTCAAACTCGAATTCCAGGGATATTCCCCAGGCGAACCTGCCGAAGCTGGAGGCAGGATGGGACCATTCAGCTGGAAGTGTTGGCTCGATCACGCCGACGTCTTGGAAGCCAGCTCAGCCGGCACGAGAAGAGATCAAGGACTCACCAGCGGGAAGACCGCGGCCAAGAGGGCCCACACCAGTCAGAAGACCTACAGCAGAGGAATACGGAAATGTGAAGGTCAATACGGTTGCTTCGATGGCGAGCCGCATCCACCGACCAAACCCGAACGAGTACGGGATCCAAATCAAGCGGACAGAAAGTCCGTTCCGGACGGAGAGCCCGATTCTCAAAGAAGTCCGAAGGGGTTCCGGCACTGATACGCCATCAGACGGACTGAGCAGCAACAACACATCGCGCTCAAACAGCCCCCTTCCCAATCACAGCCACAGCGTCTTCTCGCCGCCGCCCGCGGCGAAACGCCCATTTCCACCACCGCCCGCCCAACCAGAGTGGGACCACGGCCCGGCCCCAACAGCACCCCCGACGACTCCTCTGCCTATCCCTGAGAAGAGTGCCCGTCGCAAGAAGACTCAGGACACCCCAGGTCAACAGAAACCAACGCCGACGCAGAGCCCTGCGCCGATGCCAATGTCAAAATCGCCGGGACTCGCCTCGTCGGCCAGCATCATTCCCGATCTCAACAGCAACCCCAACTGGCCTCTCCCAGCACCAGACGCGTCCTGCTCGACATCCGTGACCGCCGAGGGCGGCTTCGGCGCGCGTCGGTCACTGCTGCGCGACAAGCGGTCCGCGCCGGCGCCGCTGAACATCGCCGCCACCAGGTTCGCGGAGGACACGGGTGGGCCCTGGACGCCTGACGATGCGGTCTCGACCAAGCGGCCCAAGACGGCGGGCGGCAACAAGGAGGGGCCCCGGCAGGGCTCGCTCATCCGGGTCGACACCGAGTTCGAGTGGAAGGAGGAGCGGTACTCGACCGCAGTCGGCGGTTTCAACATCGGCGAGCAGCAACAGAACCAGCCAGCTTACCAGGTCTCGTCGCAGGGTGCGGCGGCGGCGGCGGGCGAGGGCAGCGACAAGAACGGCGCCATCGGAATGGCGAGGGGCCTGTCGCTCAAGTATGACCAGGAGCGGGAGCAGCAGAAGCGCGGCAGGGCCAAGGAGCGGATGAAGCTCATGCGGGCGTGGACCATTGACGAGACGGCCACGTCGCCCACGTCGCCCACGTCGCCCACGTCGCCCACCGCGGCGCCCACGCCGGGGGAGCCGTTTGATAGGACCATGAGGCCGAATAATGGCCTGAGGAGTCCGACGGGGATCGCGGACGAGACCGGAACTAGGTTCATATGATGGGATGCTTTGCATGGCTGGTGTTCTTGTTTCGCATGCCATTTACATTTGCGGGTGGACCCCAAGGTCCTTATTTTGTCTGTTTTGGGTAGATACCATTGCGCAGGAGACTCTAGATATTATCATATGTCTACCATTTTGTTCGATCTTGATCTTCGTGTGCCTCGTGCAGGCTGTTTGGCTTGCTTCCCTTTCGTGACGATGAAGCGACGCAAGTGAAGAAACGTCGTGACGTGGATTTCTTCACGCACTCGAACATGGATTTTGTCAATCCGCCCATTCTGCATATGCACCGTTACTGTATCAGTATTATACAAGACTATGCAATGCTCGCCATCTCGCCTGTTATGTATTTATCCAATGGAAAAATATGTGAGCAACCAAAATGGATTAGTAAGAGACGGGGCGTGTAAAAACATTACATAGTCGACCCATTGTATCAAGAATATCAAAACCGACAGTGTCGACTTTCAACTTATTTCATTGATGTACTTTAGACAAATTGAGTCGCCCACCATTCTTTGATCCTTTATGCCTTTGACAGTTAGTACTTACCTTCTTCACAATGATCTCCCTTATGATATGCTGGATGCTCTGAGATTCGTCCTCGGGACAACTTCGTTTATGGCCACCCATGGCAATATGCAGTATACTCATCAAAGTCTCTAGTGATATAGATGCCCTGGTCTGTACTCTGGAGTTAAATTTGTCTTATCTTTGACAATGCTGACATGTGATTTTATGTATCACTCAATGTCTTTGCCAGCGTCTCAATTCAACAAGCTGCTCAGAAGACCCGCATAAAGAGACGTTATCAGACACAACGTGGGTCTCGTGTGTTTGCAATGGCAAAGGCCGCTGTGAAGATGTTGCAGTTGCTGAGTGCAACCGCCACGAAATCATATTTGTCAACGAGTACCAGATTCCAAATATTGATATACAAACGTCCTTATCTCTAAGCACATCTTTTACTCAGCTGGGCATAGTAGTGGGGAGGGACTCGTGCTTGATTCCTGGGCTTTAATGAGTGGCACAAAGGGCAGAAATGTCTGGAGTAGCAAAGAGCAACCAACCAATTGCGAAACCCATGATCACATCTGTGCCCAGAGTCAAGTTTATAAAATGCCCATTGTCAGGAACCAACATTACACAAGCATACTAAGCATAGCTCCCGTGCAGCTAAAACGCTTTGTAAAATATAAAAACACTATATTAAAATAAACCTTATACTAACACTATATATATGCAGTACGTGCAAAAGGTAAATAAAAAGTATTATAAAAAAAGAATTAAAAGAAAAAAGGGAAAAGAGGAAGAAAAAAAATAAGTTTAGTAATTTTTTTATTAATAAAATTTATAATACTACTATATTTTTGCTATATTACTATTATATATACTTACTTACTTTACTTATAATTCTTTTAATTTAATAGTTTAAACTTTACCCTTTATAAAGAAGTAAACTATTTAAAATATTAATATAATATTTGCTTATAAATAAGCTAATTTATATAACTATATTATAGCTTTAAAGTAAAGTATAAGTAGTAACTATATTACTAACTTTAAAACTTAATTATTTTTTACTTAATTACTTAAGCTAATTATATTCTTTTTTACTTTATATAATAATATATTTTTATACTTTAATATTAAAAATATAATATAAAATACTAACTTTATTAAAAATACTTTTAAATATAAAGAATAAAAAATAAATTAATAATTAAAAAATAAAATTACTTACTAGCAACTTTATACTAAGTATATAAAACTAGTAATACTTTTATATAATAAAGAAAATATTATAACTATAATAGAAATAAGACTAAGGAAAACTAACGGATTAAAAAAAGGTTTATTAGGCTAATAGGACTAGCTATATATAAAAGTAAAGTTTACTTAAGCTATAAATTATATAACTAGCTGCTTATATAAAAAAGGATTATTTAAATTATTAGGATTACTAAATAAGCTAAATAAGCTAAATAAGCTAAAACTTAATAAATTACTAAAATTACTATAATAAGCCTGTAAGCCTTATAAGCTAAGCTAAAAAGATAAACTATATAAAATATACTTATTATTAAATAAATAATATTAGCTTAGGATAGCTTTTTAATAATTAATTTAAATATTTACTCTAAATAGCTATAAAGCTTTTAATTAACTATTATTATATATTATTTAAAACATTACTATTTTAAATACTTTTTAAATATAAACTTGCTTATTAAGTTTATTAGCTAAAAATTAATTATAATTATTATATTTTAACTGCTTTTATTTAAATATTTTATATAAGCTTTAAGTAATATTATATATAAATATTACTTTTACTTTTAATATATTTAGATTTAGAAATAGCTTTTCTTAATACTATTTTCTATAAAAGCTAAATAATGCTAATAATTATAGTTAAAGTAATAATTATTTTAGATTTATAATTAAATAGCTTTAAGAGTTAATTAGAAAAGTTAATTATTTATACTTATAAATTAATAAATAAGCTTAATAAAATATTAAAATAGAAAGATTTAAGGAAAAAGTTATAACTTTTTAAGCTGCTATTAATATTATTAGTATCTTAATTTTATAAAAGGAAAATATAAAGCTAAATAGCTTGATATTTTATAATAGAACTTTTGGGTAGCTATAAGTATACTTTATATAAATTAAAGCCTATTAGCGCTTTAATTAAATAAATAATTAATTAAATAAGAAATAAATTATATATACTGCTTTATTTTTTAAAGAATATATACTTACTTAATTTAAACTATACTTTACAGATTTTATTAATACTAAAGTATTTAATAAATATAAGTTTAAGATATAAGAAATTTTTAAAAAATATAAAAATTATAAAAATATTTTAAAAACTTTATTTTAAGATTTTAATAAAGAATAATAAGCTAAAAGAAAATTATTTAAATTAAAATAAAAGGAATTAGCCTTATTTTATATTATAAAATTTTAATAAATTTGTATTAAAATTAACTTTATAGATAATATTAAAATTTTTATATTTTATTAAAGATTAAAGGAAAAAGTAAAAAATAATTTAATTAAATATAATTAGTTTAGTAATTTTTTATAATATATTAAGCTAATTATTAAAATTAATAATAGGCTTTATAAATAATATTTAAAGAAAAAAGGTAATAGTATAGGAAATTTTTAATATAATAATAACTAAGTAAATATAGAAAAATATTATTAATTTAGGATTGCAATATATAAGCAGTACTTAAGCTTAATAGAATTTAATACTATTTAAAAAAAAAATAAAAAAAAAACATTAAATATTATAATTATAGTAAAAAAGAATATTTTATAAAGGAATATAAAAATAAAAAGAAAAAAAAAATTAAAAGCTAATATTAAAAATATAATAAGCTAATATTATTAAATAATAATAAGCATTTAAAAATTATATAAAAAAAAGCTAAATAAAATATTTTAATAATTATTATAAAATATATTTATTTAATAAAAAAGCTTTAAAATAATTTTTTAAAGTATTTAAAAGATTAAAAATATTTACTATAATAAAATAAAAGCTTATAATAATAGTAATTAGAGCTAATATAATAGTACTTTTAAATTTATAAAATTAAAATTCTTATAAGCATATAAGTAAAGTATTTTTAATAATATTTAAAATAAGTATTACTTGAATTATAATTTTAAAATAAAATAAAAGTATAGTAATAATAGTAGCTTATAATAAACTATTTAAACTATTACCTATATAATTCCTAATAAATAATTTAAGAATATATAATTAGCACTTTTATTATAAAAATATTTTATAAGCTTTTTATATATTTAATTAATATAAAATATATTATATTAATAAAGTTAAAAATTTTTTTTTTAAATATTATAAAATAATAAAAATAGCTTAATTTTATAAAGAAAAAGAATTATACTTATAAATAGTATAAAAATATATACTTAAAAAAGGATATACTATTTTAAAACTATAATAAAATTATTTTTTAAAATACTTATAAAACCTTAAACTATAATAATAGTGTTTTTAATTAAACTATTAAATTTATTTTAAATTAAAACTTTAAAATTAGTACTAATAATATTATATAAATATAGTTTTACTGCTTAATTTTAAGGATATATAATTAAAAAACTTTATAATAGTAGTAATTATATTAAAAGTAGTATAAGGATTTATTAAAAAAGCTATTAAAAAAATTAAAAATATTTTAGTTTAAAATTAAATAATAAAAAATAATAATAATTATTTTTAAATAAGCTTTAAATAGCTATAAAAAAACTTAAAAAAAAGTTTTTTTATATAATAAATAGTAAAAAATATAAATATATAAAAATTATAATATAAATTAAATAAAAGCTATTTATAGTGCTTTTAAATAGTAAAATATAAAAAAACTTTATTTTATTTATAATAGTAAATTAATATAAATTATTATAATAAATAAATAAAAAATTTATTTATTTAGTATAATTAATAAATAAAAAGTATTTTATAAAAATAAAATTATTAATATAAAAACTAATTATTTTTAAATTTTTTTTAATAATTAAAAAAAAACTATTTAATTTAATATTATAAATATAATAAAATATAAGTTAATATTAAAAATATTATAGCTAAAAAAAAGTAATTTTTAAATTAATTAAACTATTAGTTAAATATTTTAAAATATTAATTTAAAATAAAAGATAATTAAAGGTAAAAAATTAAATTTAATTTCTAAAAATAGTAGTAAAGCTTATACTTATATAAATTTATATATATAATAGTAATTAGTAATAAAACTTAAAAGAAATAAAAAGTAGTTAGTATATATAGTATAGTAAAAAATAAAAAAAATTTAAGTAATAGTAAAATAGCTATATTATTTATTAAAAATTTTAAGGATTATAATAATATTTTTAAAAAGAACTTTAAAATAAATAAAGTAATAATAGTAATTTTTATATATAAAAGTAATATAACTATTATTAAAAAAGTTTATTTATTTTATATAAAAAAGTAAAAAAAATAATAGTTTAAAATATATTTTAAAAAAATACTAAAAATATTTAAAGCTATTTTAAATAATATTTAATATTAAACTATTTAAATATAGTTAATAGGATTATAAAATATTTTTAAAAAAAGGAATTTAATTAAAGTTTTATAAGATTTATAGATTTAATAAAAACTAACTTAAAGTATTATAAAACTATTTAAAAAAAAATTTTAAAAAAAAATATATTTAACCTTTTATATTATTAGCTAAATATTTTATCCTTTTTATATTTAAAAAAAATAGTAAATTATATTTATATATAGATTATTAATAACTTAATAATATTATAATAAAAAAATTTTTTTTTTATTTATTTATTAAAAAACTATATAATAAACTTTAAAAAGCTAAATAGTTTATAGCTTTAAATTTAAAAAAAGTATATAATTTTATTAAAATAAAAAAAAAATAAAAATAAAAAACTATTTTTAAAATAAAATATAATTATTTTAAATATTTAATTATATCTTTTAGCTTTATTAATATATTAGCTTTATTTTAAATTATAATTAATAATATTTTATAAAAATATTTTAATTTTTTTATAATAGCTTATTTAAATAATATTTTAATTTTTTTAAAAATGCTTAAGGAATATAAGTAATA